GAACACGCTCGTGTTATCGTGTAATCCATGCGTTATCTATAGAAACATGCTCTTGCGGTGGACCAGCCCATCGCTCGCGCCTGCCCATTCATATGAATCCCCGACTCTCATCAATTTCTTGGATTTATTCACTGTAGCAAAATTAGTGGTGTTAGCGGGAGGGGAGGGGGACTTTTGAACGGACAGAAACCAAAGGCACTACAGGCGCTGCCCAGATACGGCTCAGTTCCACAAATTCGCTGAAAAGGGTAGTCTCTCCCATTAAAAACGAACATGAAATCCATGACGCGAAAATCACCTCGAAATCTCTGAGATGCGGTAGGCGTGGCTGCATTCTTCAACTAAACGTGGCTGTGGCTGTGCATTCGATGAGATATTTTCATTTTGACACAATTGTGACGTATAGAATCTAGCCTCATATCCAAACTGTGGGGTCGAAAAGGGTGTGGTTGGTGGGTATTTTCGTAGAAGTGTTGCAATACAGCTATAAAAGTAATAGAATGCAGCTACTGTTCTTGATTTCCCACGGCAGAAATTCCACAAAATGTATCTTCCCATCGATTGAAGTGTGGTTTTTTTTGGAAAAAAAAATGAGCGCGAGCGAATCTATTTTCGGATGAAGGCATGGATCGGAGCCCTCGCCTTGGGTATCGGCGTCGCTCTTTTTGTCGCCGGTGCTGTCATGCTTGGCATCGGCATCTCGAAGGACAAGTCGTCGTCTCATGATTGTTCACGTTCCACCAAACCTCCAGCGACTAGGACTGCTCCTTCTGCTGCTCCCTCTTGTGAGTATGTTAGATTTGTAGTGCCCTGTAATTTTTATCATGTAACAAATCTGTTTCGGTTATTCTGTCTTTTATGGTTCACTTATATCTCGAACAAGTCCACTTTCAGTACTTGTTTACTTTACAGACGAATCCGAAGAAATCTCTGCACTCATTCAAGAGAAGATTGATGTCGATCGAATCCGAGAGAATCTTCGGAATTTCACTGTTGACCCTCATCAAGCAGGAACCGATGCTAACAACAAAGTAGCTGATTCTATCATGGCAAGATGGCGCGCGGCAGGACTGGAAAGTGAGTCAATGAGATTTTCAAAAAAGTAAGTAGGATCCAATAAGTTTTAAGTGGAATGACGATTATTACGACATTACGCGAAATGACGCTCTCCTCTATTGAAGAAAAATTCGGTGCTCGCGTCCGAGGACGGTCCTTGCCAGAGGGGAATCGGTCCACAGCTCCACCAGCGCTACACTGTCTCCGCTCGAAATTGCAGGGAAAAGGGACCCGAGGGTGGTGTTACCCTGGCGCCACCGCCGTAATCAGCCGCAACTGGTATCACGGTCTCGCACCTACTCATCAAACGATATGACTGTATTATATCGTTCGTATTACTCGTTTTCTACCACTTTTTGTCGCGCACGCTTCAACAAGAAGGCAGAGAACGGCTTTGACGGGGTGACACACTCATACTGCCTGACACGCCCAACCGTCCGCAGCGAACCAGAGTGTAGCTTGTTTGGCTACGGTTAGACGGGTGGTTAATCATGCGACAGCGGGTGTGGATTATGGAGATAGGGCCCTGGTATCATTAGCACACCAGATCCGTCACCGTGCGCTTCTGATCAGAAGGTGGCACGCCACAGCAGCCGCGATCCCGTTCTCTCCACACACAGGGGCAAAGAAGAGAGGTGAGTGTACAGCTTGTCCTCGGAGACACATACCGTGATCACCACAAGAAGTCGAGTCCCTTTTGCGGATGAGGGGTGCTTTGCAGCAGCACAGAGTGTGCCGCTTGCGCCGTGCGAAAGTGGGTGACGCGCCCGCCATGTTATGACCAGAAACTCCGCCCTTAGCACTCAGAACATCCTTGCAAAACTGCAGAATGTCCGTCTTAGATGGTCAATAAGAAACGGGCGAAGACCCTGTCCTTTGATGCTATCTTGTCCGTCCTTTGATCCTGATCCTTTTGAGCAGGCAGAATGGGCTTACGGGATTGGAGTAGTCAGGGTACAGCATCGTTTTGTAAAATGTATGGGGGTGTTGTACTTGGCCGCTAGGGAGGCAGTCGTTTTCGGTGGTTGTTGGGAAAGGGGGGTCGTATATCCTCATGTGCCTTTGAGAGGAATTTGCCCGCGCTGGGAAAGTCAGGGTTGTTGGTACTTTACACCCCTCCGTCCCCCCTCCCCCCCCCCCCCCCCGCTCGACGGAAAATTTTTGGGTGAAAAACTGGAAATGTGGGAAATTTCGGAACAACTGGTAGGAAGCTGGGAACATGTAGAACATGTAGGAAAAGGGTAGGTAGGTGTTTAGGAAAGGGAAGGTCGTACTGAGACCCTCTTTCGGTGGGGGTTGTATCGAGACCCTCCTTCGGGGGGTGGGGGGTCGTACTGACATCACCGTTTCACACATTGCGGCACACATGTACCCTGGGTGTAGTTCTTCATCGTTTGCTTGGAAGGAATCGCTGCTATGGTTAGATAACGATAACATCCGAAGGACTGTGTCTATTTGGCGGAAGTTTCCATAAATAGGATCAACAAAAGGACGACATTTCCCCAGCTTACAATCATAGCATATGATGACCTATTTGAACCGCTTGCCTTCGCCCTCTTCAAGGACGCACTGTTTCCTTCATAATAACTCTTAAGTCGAGTTTGAAACTTGACGGATGCTTATTAAGCAGTAACAGGCGTCGCTTACCAGGCTTGTAGCAAGTAAGGAATCTTGATCGGCTCCCACCCAGGTCAACCCATCCTTCCACTCTCCACTGCCATTAATTTGGTCAGGGATTGAACCTGCGCCCTTTACATCTCGCAGATGAGAAGGGGGTAATTCATTTTTTAATACATAGAATGTGTTTTTCGTGGGATACTCCAATTTGTAACAGCTTTCATGCTTCCT